AGGAAACTTTCTTTGTTGGTTACCAGGAGTGGGAGAGAAGGGGAGGGAATGTTGCAAAAGTAAAAAAATAATAATTAAAAAAAATTTAAAGACAAAAAGAAGAACACCATGAACCAAATGCTTAAGTCTTGAGTGAGTGAGGGAGCATGAATGAGAGGTTGGTGGATTTGTGATTTGCTGGGGGTAGGGACAAAAGGTAATGTAGTCAGTTGGCATGCATTTTAAGAGTAGGCTTTTAAACTCAGCATTAGAGGAATAAAGGTTCAGAAGTATTACCTAGTCCTAAATATATACTGAGTAATAGGGCCTTCAGACTCCAAGGCATGCAAGTCTTTGTTGAGCACCCTCTGCTCAGTAAGGGAGGGATTGAGTGTCCTAGGCTAGTGTGGCAAGGAGCTGGAGGAGCCCATCAAGGAGAGAGGACATGGTAAGGCCGTGGGCACTGTGGTAGTTAAATTTGTATGTCAACTTGGCTGGGCCTGGTTGAGTGGCTGGGCAGCTGGTGCTTGTTATTCCCCATGATGAGACTGGTTTTCAACTCCATGGTGGGATCTACCACAAGCAGCTGAGTAGCTGCCTTTGGGATGTGGTCTGCTTCCTGTATATAAGGAGAAGCCTTGGGGATAGTCTCTAGCCTATGGCACCTTGACCTTTGCACGTAGCCATGTCGTTGTTCAGTAGCCTGCCGTGCTCTGCTGACCTTGGGACTTGCAATGTACTCAAATTAATGGACTGCCGTATGGTTTGGTAACTAAAAAGGACTGTGCCTTTTTACTTGTCAACCTTGGGCTTGTCAGTCTCAGTAGCCAGCAGCTGTCTGAGTGAAGAAAAGCCTCTAGCTCCAGTGGCCCGGGAGCAGGAGGCAGAGCTGAAGCCCAAGGCTGAAGGGCTTTCACCCAGTCCCTAGAGCCTGGCACTTTGAACTTGGACTTAAAGCCTCCAAACCGTAAGAAAATAAACTCCTGTTTCTTTAAGCCATCCCATTTGTGGTCAGAGTGGCAATAGGTAACCAGAACAGACACATTGGGATGGTTACAGATGGGGTGTGTGGATAGTCTGGGCAGAAAGAAATAATCACCACTTCTTGTATTTAGGGAGCTCTGATGGTGTAGTGGGTAAGACATTTGGCTGCTAACCCAAAGGTCAGTGGTGCAAACCCACCAGCTTCTCGAAGGAAGGAAGATGTGGCAGTCTGCTTCTGTAAGATTTATACCCATGTTCATCACAGCACTATTCATGACAGCAAAGTGATGGAAACAGCCATTTCAACATCAACAGAAGTATGGATAACCAAACTATGGTACATCCACACAATGGAATCCTGTGCAACACTGAAGAATAATGTAGAATCTGTAAAACACTGCATAACATGGATGAACTTGGGGAACATTATGCTGAGTGAAATGAATCAGTAACAGGAGGACAATATGGTATTGGTTTGCTATTGTAAAAAGTCAAGGAAGGGTATATATATGGAAGGACGTTTGCTTTGTTGGTTGCCAGGGATGGGAGGGGAGTGGAAGGAACACTGCTAGATATGTAGAGACGAGTGTTAATTAGGGTGAAGGGAAAGGCAGTATACCAAAAGTGACTGACCAGCTCAATAATACTAAGGAAAAGGAAGATGCAGAGAGGTGCATAAAAGGTATAGACAACCAAGATAAACCGTTCTACATATCCAAACAAAACAAAACAAAAACTCACTGCCATCGAGTTGGATCTGCCTCATAGAAACCCCTCCTTGGGTTTCTGAGGCGGTATCACTGCAGAAGTAGATTGCCCAACTTTCCTTCTGAGGAGTGGTGGTACTGCATTATCAGTGATAACAAACATTAATCTGTGGGCAGATAGATGGATAGACAGGCTGAATGATCAAATCATCATGTCTAGACAAAAGGGAATATACCCATGACCATATGTAAGGTTGGCATATGATATTTCTACATACATATTTGTATGTGCTATAACAATGTCCATATATATATAATAGAGCTAACAAGGGGCTAAGTTAGGATAACTTCTTAGATACAGTCAACCCTCCTGAGGGAGCGAGTAGTTGAACCTGTGGGCTTGGGACCATGGTTGCAGGGGACATCAAGCTCAATTGACATAACATACTGCACATTGCACATCCTGCTTTGGTGAGTAGCAACTGGGGTCTTAAAAGCTTGTAAGCAGCCATCTAGATGGAATGGATCTCTCCTCATCCAGAGCAAAGAAGAATGAAGGAAACCAAAGACACATGGAAACAATTAGTCCAAGGGACTAATGGACCAATGTGTACCTCCGCCTATATGACCATGAGACCAGAAGAACTAGATGGTGCCCAGCTACCACTGTCAACCACTCAGAGGGGGATCTGTGTAGGAGATCCTGGATAGAGTGGGAGAAAAATGAAGGAACAAAATTTAAAATCACACACACACACACAAAAAGACCAGTTTACTGGTCTGATAGAGCCTGGTGAGACCCCTGAGACTGTGGCCTATGGATTAGTTACCCTTGAGGTGTGGAATTGAGCTCAATCCCTTGGCTTCCAGCCGAACAGTAGACAGGCATATAAGCTGAACATTTCTGTCAGGTAGATACACTCCTTAGAACAATCAATCGTGGGAGAACAGAAGGGCAGTATTTGCACAGGGAGATAGTTCAGGGGGGCAGGAATGCATAGGAAAGAAGGACACAGGGAAGAGGTAACTGCAGAGAGGAAATGGTAAGAGAGCTGTTAAATTGTGGGGAATTGAAAAAAAATTACAGCCTTGGAAACCCAAGGGGGGTCACTATGAGTTGGAATCTACTTGTTGGCATTGGGTTGGATTGAGTTTGTTCTATTTAGGATGCTATATTTATTTAGGGAAGAACATGATCAACATTTTTCAGTTTTCAATTTCAACAAGTTGAAAGAACTGAACAGAAATTCAAGTCTTGAATTGAAATATTGAAGGATTCTATAGGCAGAATTTTGAACAATGCAGGGAGCCTCAAAAGAAGATGGAAGGAATACACTTAGTGACTCTGTCAAAAAGAATTGGTTGATGTTCAACCATTTCCCAAGGT